AATCACTTTTAGAGATTCATTCTAAAGCTACATCCTTTTTTTGAGCAGGCCCAAATCTCTGAGCCTTTTGTTAGGAAAAAAGATAGCATGAAGGAAGGGGATCATGTCTGTAAAATCGACAGTGAAAGTCTGCATTTAGAGGACAAAGTTTGGATCAAGCAGCTTATAGATTGTCAGTCACAGGATGTTGGTAGAAATGTATCCGCACCTAATGAAGGTAGGATTACCATCCGTCCATAAAAGTATGCAATCGTCTTTGATTTGGCAGTTAAACATTTCATCCCTCATTGAACCAATAAGGATTGTGATTTGTGTTGTATTTTACTAAATACATCTCAACATACATACATACTCCAAGGGGAGCATCTAGATATTGAAGAGAAGGGGCCCCAGAATGGAGCCTTGGGGAACCCCACATGTGATTTAAATTGTTTTAATCTCTGAAGACGTTTTTCCTTTCTTTGCATCACTCTGAAAACTCCCCCAGGAATAAAGAACTGGGTCTTCCAATTTAAATAGCCTTAACAGAGTTTGAAACAGAAAGTGCTGTCAAAAAGGCCCAACATTTTAGAATTGGAACAAACACAGTAAATACAGACTTAACTCTTGGATGATTAGTGTAAACCTTTATTTGTTGTGTTTTATAAAAAAAACACGTAAAGCATAAATTAAAATAGTTTGGAGTTTATTTTGAAGATGATTTAACCATTTAATGGCTGTTGTCGTGGCTGATTTATGTGTTAACACTGCTAAAAATCTAAATTTCCCTTTTCTGGCAACAGATAACAACCCAAATAATAAATATCTGTTTGTTAAGATAATGAAGAACATTCTTTATTTTGAATATTACTTTCTTTTCCTTTTCAAATGTTTAAAATGTCAATACTTTTGTTGTGTTTTTTTGTCTGCAGAGAAAATAGATCATATTGGCTAAAGAAATATCAAAAACTAACATTGGGAACTGGAATCTACTTGTAAACAAGTTACAGAAACACCTGAAGGTGGACAAGGTTTTAGGATCCATCACTGCCACTTCAGATTCATGTGGAACTTTTGGCACGCTTAGAACATCATGGTACAGCCCCCTCTTTAACAGTAGAAATAACGATGGAGTACTATTGTAGGTTAAAGAACACAGGGAGATTCTGAACTAAATTTTTAACTAAAGTGTTCTTGCAGTGGAAAAGAAAAATGTTAAATCAAAAGAAATCATGAGATCTCACACAATGATAAACTTAACACTCTGCTTTATTAAATTTGATGAGAAACAGAACAAACATGTCCAACAGCTTTCATTCATTTTTTCCTTTTATTACAATTTCAATTAGTGGCAAGCTATTTAATCTCCTGCAATGTCTTTACTAGATGGAAATGAGGAGATAGCTTTTGTTTTCAAATCAATCAAGTTTTAAAAAAGTTAACCGTAAATCTTGATCAAAAATAATTTCTTTTTGAACTTGGACCAAGACAGTCATGTAAATTTCACTGCAGACATATAATAATTTTATAAAGAAATTATCATGTAAAAGAAAACAGTTTCACACAGACTATTGATAAATCAAGTTTACAAGAAACATAACCAGAAAATCCTAAATTCTAACCATAAACACACCATTTCTATCATATTAGGGAACTTAAGGTAACATATAGTTATTGCAGCGTTTGAAGATCTGACCCACTAACATCTGGACTATGTAGAATTAAAAGAACATGGTTCAAAGACTTATGCGCAAATGTTATAGTTCAGCTTTTAATTTTACTTGAAGTACAAAAAATATATATTTCAATTTAGGATTTGGCAGCGGCTGGCCAATAGAGGGCGCTAGTGTGCCGCCCCAACCACTCAATGACCCTGAGCACAAATTCTTTTTTTTATAATTTAATTTTAAATTAAAATTTTTAATATTTCGAAATATATCAATATATATTTTTTAAATGTGAAAGACAAATATCGAATCTTTAATGACTAGTAAAGTGTCATTCATTTTTTCGTCAGATTAGTGACTTATTTCCGCCCTAGTGGGCAAAAATCTTTGCCCATTGACTCTTGTAAAAAGTTGTACATGCGCAGAAGCTCCTCTGCAATACAAATGTATAGGAGAGCTCGGGGCACAGGAAAGTTTTGCCCCGAGGTGACAGAAAGTGTATTTGCTCACCCCCTTCCGCCACAGTGCAGAGTCACGGGACTTGGAGACGCATCGAAGGAGGTCAAGCTAGGTCATGCTAAACCAGGTCCTTTTCTAGGATCTGGTTTAGCTACAAGGCTTGGCCTTCTTTTTCAAATGTCAGGATCTGACCCAGCATGGATAAAGACAGGTAGGACTGATTTAAAGCATTTTTTTTAATAAAAGTTAAAGAAGCATGAACAATCTGGCGTTCACATGGAAAATAACAGAATATAGTGTGCTTTTTTACATGTCTGTTAATTGAATAGTTGCCCTTTAATAAACACATTCTCAGAAAATAAAGTTTTTATATATTAAGAAAAAGTAAAGCTGACTAATAGCTTCTCCATTATTAAACTGGTACTTTATTTTTTTTAGCTTTGTGACACAATATTGGACCATGCAAAACACAGATTTGCCATCACAAAGCCTCAGAATGGCCCTGCGATGGACTGGGTACAACCAATCCAGGGGTTAGCCCGCTGCTCGCCCATAGACAGCTGGACATAGGCACCAGGACCTCTCGCTTAAATGGATGGATGGCCTCAGTAGTGCAAACTTTACGTACAAAAAGTTAACCTGTTTTGTAACCCCCAACCCCCCAATCCCCCTCCCCCCCGGAGAACACTCCAACAGCCGCCACTGTCACCATTGATTAATGTAAATCAAGCTTCACTTTTGCCTATAAAAACAACGAAAACATTAAATAAGCCACAGTTTTTTGGGGTTTCTAATTTCTATTTTTATACTCCTGGACTAAGCAGTCTGTAAGCAAAAATCAAAACGCATAAAACATATAATTATGTGTTGCAACCATGCAGTTCTTGACTAAATTAAAAGCTATTAAAACATAAACTACCAGTGTTACGCATAAATCTGGGCTTAACTATAAGTCAACAGCAGAAAAAACCCTTGAACAAGCCACAGAGCTAAGTTGGGACTCCTGTCCAGCACTACTGGACAGGAGTTAGCATGCAGTACCCACTGGTTGGATAAATGTAAAAACCTGGATAGACATGGTCATTGAATGAAGTTTTGAAGGTGTAGAGGTGTTCTAAGTTTTGACCTGACAACATGTAGAAAGACAGAGTCCCATCTTGAAAATCCAGGTACACTCCAATTTTATTGCATCCAACAGGAATAGGTTTACCGAACCATACCTGGCCATTGTTCCATGCATCAAAGCACAGCTCTCTGCCAAAATACCAAGACTTGTCAGAACTCCCAAGGCTCGTATGTCTTTCAAGTGATTTGTATGCAACACCTATACCAACTTGTGGAAGTTCACTCCACTCCACCTCCCAATAAGAGCGCCCACACAACCCTTCGTTACACAGCACCTGAAGCTTATCAAACCTCTCTGGGTGACTGTCATAGTACTGCCATGTTGATGTACATGTTGCTTTTTTGTTCTCATCTGAAAGAATGAGATAATTATTTGCTGTATTTGGGTTCAGCGTCAGATCACAGGCATCTGGTGGAAAGACAAAGGGACAGTCTGTTAGATAAACACTGAAAGACAATAGATGTAACATTTTGTTGAATATTACAGTTTCAATATCCTGAAAAGATTTTAAAAAACCCAAGGAGAACACTCAATGAAATTTTGTTTTGAGAAAGTCAATTTCCAAATCAGAAGACATTCTAGCAGAGGGTCTTTTCTTTGCTTGTTTGTCATAAATAAAATTAAATGCCATATATAACTTACACCAAATCAGATCTTCTTTGCTTGTTATATTCTCCACTGGAGGGACGCCTGGCTTTGAAAAATCCTCTGAGACCAGACACCCTTCCTTGTAATGGTAGATGCTTGCTCCTTGGTATTTGGGATTGTTTGCTGCAGCTACTAGGAAAATGAATTTGCTGTTGGCTTTCAGGCCTTTGGCCATGTTTTGGAATTCTTGGGCTTTTCCACGGAGTTCTTGTATCTTTGCATCTGAATGGTACCACTGGTCGTGTTTAGGCTCATAGATATTCTGAAGGCTTTTCAGATCATGTGAGTGAAGGCAACTCTCCATCTGATCAATGTATGGGTCATCACCCTCCAGAGAGGTGAAAGTGAAGCACAGACCATGAACCACACCTTGAGCAAATATTTCTTTTTTCAGCTGGGACTCATTGGAAACCATTTTGATGCCCTCCATTGATTTGAGGCAGATATTCAAGGCAGTTACTTCTGCTTCTTTGTCAGACATCCACCGGTCTAAGTTGTTATGATTGAATCGAGTGTTGCGTAGGTCATCAAGCAGTTTTTCAACTGAGCTATGATCTTCTTTTCCTGCACGGATCAAAGGAAACTTTTTCTTCATAGTATCTCTGAGGATTTTTTCACACTTCTTGCAAAGGTCGGAAAATTCCTGCAGATTCTTGTAAAAACTGGGGAATTTCTTCAATAACATAATTTCCAGAAGCTCGTTGCATCTCATTTCAAATTGGCTCAAATCTTCAAAGACATCTTGTGCTTTAGTGATTAGCCCCTCACAGATTTCCCCTGTCACTGCAGCAGCAGTGGGGTCGTAGGACTTCAGTGGGGTCAGAAAGGCTTGAATTGGCACAGAATTCTGGGGATTCTCTCTGAGCATCTTTGAAAGACTCTGATAGGTCTTCAGTGCTTCTTCAAAATGTGTAGGGTTGCTTTCAAGGAGGAAGTCCCCATAGAATTTGCAGGAGATTCTCTTGAGGACAGAGTTTTCTTTGTCACTCAGTGACATTGAGATGTTAGCTTCAGCATTTAATTTGGGGATCTTATTTATTGCACCCTCCAAGGTTCCCTGGAAGTCCTCAACTTGAGTGGACTCTAACTTCTCACTGTCAAAGACAAAGAAAGCATTTGCACCATGCTGAATGCCTGTCACCACATGTGTTGCCATGCTCTTCACTTCATCACTGAGCCTAGCTGCACTCTGCGCTTCACTATGTGTCATGGACAGACGAGAGAAGTAAGAAGTGGCCTTGTATTGGAGGGTCACTCTGCTCTGATTTTTGAATTTCTTCTTGTCGTTCAGATACTTGGCAGAGCCACCGACTTCAATCAGACCACTCAAGAAACTTGCTTTAAAAGAAGCATTAAGATCCAAGAGAGAGGACTTTTCTTGAATAGAATCAGAGGATAAGACTTGGAAAGAACTGTTGTGGTTATTCTTTGTCTTTGTTTTATTCTCCAGAATGGTCCCTTCCCACAGTGAAATTCCTGTGAAAAATGGAAACCACTGTTAGACAGACAAACTCTAATTACATCTTTCTTTATCTGACTTTGACAGTTGGATGTATACACTGCCTGAAATAAAAATTATATTTGTGAGCAATTAACATAAATATCTACAATATAAACTAACTTTCAGTTCAGTATGTCGCATATAAATGAAAATTCTTGAGACTGGCAAAGAAATGACAAAAATTTAGATTTTTCTGCTATTGAATCTTTACTAGGTAAGATTGAAAATGTAAAAGGAAAAGGAGGGGAAAAGATAAACTATAAAATAAAATATTAAATTCTTTAAAGGTCCTTATGGCAATAGAACAAAAAAAGCAAAGCAGACCATTTCAGCAAATTAGCCTCTGAAATGAGCAATCAATATGGAAACAAATGCAGCTCCCGGACCAATATGAAGCCTTTCAGTCCAGCTTTTACCACACCACAGATTTGCCAGTTTGAACACTAGAGGGGAACCCCGACAATGTGACAACCATCTTTGTCACATGGGGCAACATTCCCAGCAGCCCACAGGAAACGTTCATATCGAGCAGTCAATCAAATGTTGGAAGCTTAGTCAAGTGAGGTTTATCTTGCTTGATCTTTGAAGTTTTCATACATTTGTCTAGTCTTTTTTGTCTCTTTATCATGTTTGTTTTTGCATCTGTTCATCCAATTTCCTTCACGTTTATCCCAAGCAGTGATGCGAGTAGTGCTCCAGCTGTCTACAAGTGGGAGGCGGGGTCCACCCTGGACAGGTCGCCAGTCCATCGCAGGGCAACACAGAGACAAAGAGGACAAACAACCATTCACACACACACCTAAAGAGAATTTAGAGAAGCCAAATAACATAACAGCCATGTTTTTTGGACTGTACGAGGAAGCCAGAGTACCCAGAGAGAACTCACTCATGCTCAGGGAGAACATGCAAACTAAGCAGAAAGACCCAAGACCAGGAATCGTACCGGGAACCTTCTTGCTGCAAGGCAGCAGTGCTTCACTGAGCAGCCCATGTTTGTTTTCATTTTATTCTATTTTTTTTTTCCTTTTTTGCATTTTTAAGTTCTAATAGCCTTAATAAATATCCACAGCATGACTGATGAATACATATATTTTCTTCAAACAATTTGTGGACATGTATATATTTTTTCTAATATTAAATATTTGTCAAATCTATAAAGCTCAGCTGGACAGGTGCAAATTAACAGCAGACAACAAAACCTGCAGCACTTGACATAACATGCTGTAAAATAAGGATCATGCGAAAACAATAGCAAAAAAGTTAAAAGAAACTGCAAAACAAAGACAGTGTCACAGAAATTTAAACTGAAAAGGGAAAATTTCTCTAAAAATCAAAATGCAAGTTAAAATGCCACAAACTTGCTCTACAATTAAGAATTGTACCAGGCCACTAGATGGAGTGACACACCAAAATGATAGAACCAGACCCTCAGCAAAACCATTAGGATGATGGCCAGAAGTAAACTAGAGAAATAAAAGTAACTGTACATTCTCTTTCACGTCTATTCTTAACATAGCCGTAATCTTATACTGTCTTTTATTTTTCATATGTTTGTGTGCTTTTGATTTTTCTATCCTTCATGTGTTTTTATCTGATTTTACAGCAGGGCATTAAGTTGGTTTCACCAATTCGCAACTGTGGCCAAAAGGTAAAATAACATATACAAATATATACACAACAGTCTGATTTATTGCTGCTGTTTTTATACTTTCACCTATCAAATGATCAATGCACTATTTGATTAAAGTACCTAATGTCTTACAGTGTTTTTAAATCCATTTTTGTTTCTATGTATGTTATAACTACAGAGAAGGTAGCCTATTATTACTTAGAGTGCATATAGCAATAATGTTACTAATTTTAAATGTGTCTGTCTTTCACTGGGGGAAATGGAGACCATGCAAGGAAGATTTATCGATAAACTAGTGTGTGAAATTAGTAATTAGAGCCTTTCACACATTAGTGGTACCTGTTATCAGCTCATCTGTGTGAGCATTATACAGCATCCCTAAGGAAAATGGTCTTCCCAGGGCAGGAACCTTCAGAGAACTGGAGTCCATGTGGTCCAACTGATAGAAAAGAAAACCAAAACTATGTCAATCAGCATGCTGCATAACCGAATATCATATCTAAGTCAATTTAGTGCTGCAAAGATAGTGATCAAGAGATTGAGAATTTAAGAAATAAAAAAAAAAACTTTATCATCAATATAAAACCACCATGAAATTTCAATGTAATTCCTAACTCAAAATGCACATAAAATAAGCAGAAAGAAATTATAAACCCTTGCAAAAAAAGACATCCTTGAAGGTCTCCCTTAAAGAAAGAAAAACCTAGAATTTAAAATACACTTGAAAAAATATTGGAAGAAAAAGCAGAGGAATTGTAGATAATATAAAGAAGTTAATTTAAAGAGATAAGGCAAAATAAAACTGTGCATTTAAGGTATTTTACAGCACAGGTTCTGCAAAAACATAACATTGATCTTACTTTTTCAGTGTGTCCTCACAGAAGGAAGGTGTTCAGCGTGGTTTGAGTCAGCCGAGAGCCTTGTAGAGCTCCCAGTGTGATGTTCTCTATTTATCCTGTTAGTTGTCTTATCACTTACCTCCCCATTGCAAGAATCCACACCAAAAAAGGCTTTATAACATGAATTTCAGACAAGGTTGGGTTAATAATTTGTTTTAAGCAAGAATTCATATCACACCACACAGATAAGCAAATTATAATTCTGTGGACGTTCATGTAAATTAAAGACTGGAGAGCACGACCCAGCTACAAAGTTAAGATTAAAAGGGTGAAGATATTGTACACTCATTTGTGCGTTAAAAAAGCATAAATTCAATTCAAATAAGAAAGGAATGCAGAGCCCATGTGTAACAAATGGCGAAGAAAATGGCTAAAATTATTATAGAAGTGTTCATAAATCGGGGAACCTCTGGATCTGAGTGAGAGACTACTAAGCTCAATATCAGCTGCTGCTGTCTTTGTCCTTAGAGTTAAAATAATGCTACATTATTTAAAGATGACTGATTCTATCTCAATCCTTTATGTTCCTATCAAGTGTTTATTTACAACCAGCAAGGATGGTTATAGCCATGGGGCCAGTACCCCTGTAGAATTGGTTCTGTGGTGGCCCCTTTGCTGAAGACACAGAAACTGTAACTGGTTGTTCATTTAGACCTATTTCATATTTTACACTGACAACTCTGTTATAACAATATTATTGGGGGAGTGGCGGCCTAGTGGTTAGGGCATAAAGCACTGCTCCCCGGGCACCACACAGTGGCCGCCCACTGCTCCCCAGGGGATGGGTTAAATGCAGAGAGTTCATTTTGTTGCTCTGTACTTGTGACAGTGTAATATCAATAAAAGCTGGAAAAACAAAAATTTAATAAATATGAACACTATTTTAATCTCCTGTATCTTGGGTCTCCAGAGTTGCAAGTAGCCTTTTTTGTTTTTGTGGCGCAGCAGTGCTGTGTTTTATTAGGTCGAAAAAAAATCACTCTGACCATCAGTCAAACCAGGTCACCTGCCTGTAAGCGCTGGCAAAGTCTGAAAGGTATATGCTAAAATAAGGTAGGGATGTCCCCATATGATATGTATACCAGAAATTGGTTAAATATCAACCTAGAGGAGTGCGTTGTGCTCTGAGAAGGCTGCATGTACCCGGTTCGATCCCCACAGCCTGCACTCTGGGTCTGTGAACAAGATATTTAACCCCTGATTGCTCCCCAGACCCCGCACAGTGGCAGCCCAATGCTCCCCAAGGGGATGGATTAAGATGCAGAATTGAATTTCTCTATTGTGAGATCAGCGATATACAATTGTTATAATTATTGTTGTTACAAAAGTGTTGCGGCTTTTGTAATTGTGCTGCAGCTTTTGTAATTGTGTTGTGGCTTTTGTAATTGTGTTGCAGCTTTGTATTTATGTTGTGGCTTTTGTATTTGTGTTGCAGCATTTTAATTTGTGTTGCAGCTTTTGTATTTGCGTTGCAGCTTTTGTATTTATGTTGCAGCTTTTGTATTAGTGTTGACACCTCTGGGCCATCGTAAAAGAGGTCTTAATGTAACAAAATGCAAAGTGTTCCAGAGAAGAAAACAAAATACACAATTGAAAACCATAATGAAAGCAGTTTAAATAAAAAGAAATATTCAAACTTGCAAATTAATGAAAGTACAGTGAAACAATCTCAAATCCCTTAAGTGCTCTTGCAAACCAAACAAACAGTGGAAGCCATTCCTGAATTTAGTGCACAGAACTCATAATTACAGGAACCGTCTATCTATCCATTTTCTTCCGCTTTATCCAGGGCCCTGCAGCAGTTTAAGCAGAGATGCCCAGACTTACCGATGCAAACACACCTCCAGCTGTTCGGGGGGGGGACCCAAAAGCAACACCAGGCCAGCAAAGAGACATAGTCCCTCCAGCATGTCCTGGGCCTTCCATGAGGCCTCCTCCTATTAGGACAAGCCTGGAACACCTCCAAAGGGAGGCCACCCTGGCCTGGTTACATGGCTGACTGACATGACTGATTTCTTAGACAGTGAAATAAAATAAGGCTGGGATCTGTTTTGTTTTGTGATGACCCAACTGAAAAAATAAGCAAGCTTTTATCAACCAAAAAGGAAAATTATAAGTTTGAGTTCACCTTCAGCTGTGACACACATCAAATTTTTAACTTTTTGTTAAAACTTTAACAATTAATATTCAGGAACAATTAGCTGTTCCTTTTAAATCGAGGGGCTCAAGTTTCTATGGAGCATAAAGACGCTTTGTTTGCGACCCTGTGACGTTTAATTCTCCCTAACTTTAGGATTTATTACTGTACTTATATCCTTAGAGTAATTTAGCTTTGGATCTCTATCGAGGGAGAACCGGTTCATCCTACATGGCTACATTTGAGATGTTGTCTGTCAGACCTGCTTCGTTGACTGGCCTCATCCAAACCCCTCTTAGCATTTCCCACCCCCTTGTCACAAACATATGCAAATTAAATTCACTTTAAAATGTTCTACCATTAAGGGGCTATTTCACATTTATATAATGGTATCTATTTTTTGCATCGAACCCTGCAGCATCAAATAAAACGCAATGAGAGGAGGATCTTGGGTCGGATTCACTCCTCATCTATTTAGCATTGCGTGCATCTCAGTTGTTACGGTGTCATCAGGCCCCAGCTAACTTTGCCCATCTATTTTGTTCTTGCTATTTACTTCTTAATTTTTGGACACAAGTATTCAAGTCTTTTTCTATTTGCACAGGTGTTCAGTTTGATCCAGCAACATGTACTGTTTTGAATGGGTTTTTACCTCCTACTTTGCAGTTTCCTAAACATAAAACTAATTTTGTACAATTTGTCTCTGTCTAGGTAGACGTTTGAAATTATTGAAACATCCTGCGGCACTTTCTCACTCCTCCTGGATCAGGGAGGTCTTCAGTTGACAACATGGTGTGAACTGTCAAGCAGAAAAGCAAGTTAGGCACATGCTGGCACCATCTTCAGACCCTCTTTTAAAATGGCAATAAAACATTTCCAAAACAGTTTTAACCTTGGATTATGAAGACAGTTATTTGTGTTAATTATCATTTTCTAATGTAAAGAAATGTCTACAGTTTTGGAAATGCTTTAAACACGATGCTAAAGCATAATCTAACCTTCCTTTCCCTGTCCTTTAGCCTTTTTTGTTAGATACAGGCTTCCTGGCTGGCAATGATCCTATAAAGTTAAGAGACATGAAAGCATAAAACTGCCATTGACAAAGTTTTGTTAATTTGCTCATTCCCAAACCTCACTCCACATATTCATTTTAACTAGTATAACAAGATAAGGTAGCAAGGAACAGTGTATTACCATAGTCAAAGCATGGCCTCAACCATTTTCTCATTCCATGTAAAGTCAGAAACACTGAAACTGTTTGGAAACCAGAGAGAATATATGTTTTAATTTAAGACCCTTTAAGGATCAAGACGTTTACACATTTTAAAAGTAAAAAAATTAGTGCAAAATGTACGGTATAGATCGGTTGAAACTGGTTCTTTATTTGTGAGAAAGAACAGTTTTTATCCTTATGCTTAAAAAGCAATAAAATTTGTCGTCAATCATTCCTCTTTAACAATGTACATTTTCAAAAGCACAACCTTGGGTCTGACTAAAAAGAATTGCATATGAAACGGGAAACCTGTGGAAAGGTCAAGAAAGCTCAGAGCAGACTCATCCTGCTGAGGAGACTGAGGTCTTCAGGAGTGCAGGGGGTGCTCCTAAAGACCTTCAATGACTGTTGTGGCATCAGACATCTTCTATGGAGCTGTCTGTTTGAGCAGTGGCTTATCTGTAGCTGAGAGAAAGCAGCTGGATAAGTTGGTCAGGAAAGCCAGCTCTGTGATTGGATGCCCTCTGGACTCAGTGCAGGAGGTGGAAAACAAAAGGATCCTAGCTAAATTAACATCTCTGTTAGATAATGTCTCCCACCTCATGCATGAAGCTGGTGCTGAACTGGAGAGCTCCTTCAGTGACAGACTGCTGGCCCCTGAATGCACCAGGGAGCGTTATCACAGATCCTTCCTCCCAGCAGCTGGAAGACTTTATAACCATCACTGTTCCCAACAACCTCATAAAGTTCTTACATTCATTCTGATTTTGCACAGTTTCTACCTTAGTCAGTTAAATAACATGCTGCTGTCGTTTTGCAAATCTCTGATGTTGCTTCTATTTTCAAACATCCATTACTGTAAAATTGTCCATGTCTGGATATTGGTTAATTATTCTCCAGGTGCAGTTTTTATATTGTTAAAACACTTTACAGTACAATATTTTATTGTACATATATTTTAACTTTTCACTCTTCACTACTATGTTATTCTTATACATTTTTCTAAGGTCCACATTTGTGAGACCATTTTTTTTCCTATAGTCTGTTACTGATGTAAACACCAGAACTTCCCCATTACTGGACAATAAAGGGATTTTCTATTCTATTCTGTTCTATTCTTAACAAACCCTCTAGGTCTGTAACAATGTGTATATATTAGTGCTGTCAATCGATTAAATTTTTTTAA